AATGCTCTCTAAGAAATCTTACGCGCCTCCAACTTTGCAAATTCACGTGTTGGTGAGAAATCTGAAATATAAAAAGCTGAAAACCCAAAACCTAAACCAATATGCATGATTAAGACACTTGTCATTGTGTGATAGCCAATGCATTGTACGAATCTCTCAGTAAGGAAGAATTCCTTTCCAATGGCGAAACAAGAGCATGACCTTTAGCTACCCCTCTAATGAGAAATTCTCGATATTTGAGGGCAAGAGGCAAGAGTATGCAAATGCTCTTTCCTTAAGAACATAGAATTGTCATAAATGTACCAATGAAATAAGAACATAGAATTGTCATAAATGTACAAAACAAAAATTTAGGTTTCAAAACAAATTTCGGGAATCCCCAAAAACATATGAAACAACAAATTACAACTTATATTGTTAAAAAACTTATATATTTAATCCAATCCAGGAAAATTCCAAACTTATTTTTTGGTAATTCTCTCCATATTAAACTCATTTATGACCCATAGAGTTGAGTCTAAACCCATTTACTTGAATATAACTAACCTATAAAATAACCTAGCCCATAAAATATGAGTGAAGAAATGGGTCTACGACCAAATTTGATAGACCTACTCATCAAGATTTAGCTTTATCTGATTTCTCCATAGGTATGAACCAGGGATATACTGCACCAAATATGAGCAGACAAAACGTAAGGATAATTAAAGCAGCTAAACGTTCAATAGGATAATTGAAGCAGCTAAATATTTAATTGCACTTATAGAGTATGACTACATTATGTTTCGTGTATTGTTAATTAGCTTTAGCAAGTAATCGCTCATCTTCCTTTCTAAGTGATGATGGATTCATCGCGAGTCAACCACTTCCAAGTTGTTCAAACTGCATAGCACTGCTGAAATGCCTCACAGAGAAGAAACTCCGTTAAACTTCTCAATTTGCTGCACATACATAAGGAACCTACTACTCCGAGTGATTTGGTCGTGAATACACTTATTCGAAGTGGTTTAAATCCTAAGTACCTCAAAGCTTTATGAAGCTCCTACTTGTTTTTCAAGCATCACCCATTTATTCTGCTGTTAACAGTCCATTGAATTTACCAAGACATTTAAAACGGTTTTACATATGTCATTACTCAAAGATGAGCAACTTAGGGTCCTAGGTGTTCTTACGAGGAACTCAAGATCTATTAAAAAAGTATTCTACAATCAAGAAATGCAGACAAACTAGGAATGATGTTACTGATATTATCGAGCACTGGAAATTAAATAAGTCTAATGTGAAAGACTAAACATGACTTGATGGCTTTTACAAAGTACGGATTCTTCAGCATAACATATTTCTCCAAGGGAATTTCAGTGCGAAACTGTAGAAAGGACAGCATGCAAAGGACAGGAGGCAACACAATTATGCCAGAGAAAACAAGAAGTAGGAAGCAAGTGCCATGATTTTCCATTCAATAGATATTCAAGTCCGAGAACTTCTGCTTACAAGCCCGAACAGGCCTCCCTCTATTTCTTTTCTGCCAGCTCTTCCGTCTTCGCAACAACTAATTGTCTATTGACTCTGTAAGTCATTTGTTTCCTGCAACCATTCTTACCAACGACTTTGATGAGGAACACCGAGTCCGTATTGTATCTGAAAATTAGAAAATCAGCAAAATCTAGAGCATGATCGATCACGAAGTCCCGCCAGCCACTCTTAACTAAGCATTTATTTCCAACTTCTGCTACCAATTGGCCATGATCTCCCTGTAGTATCCTTGAGAACCGCCTTTTTGGCATGACTCCTTAAAGTTCCCATACCATTCACTACGTTAATCTAAAATATTTCTTCCAGGCAAATTACCTCAATAGGCATGGACAATCACTCCCACTTGATAGTGCAACCGAGAAAACACTTCCCATACCATTCACTACGTTTCAACAAGATAAAGTGGATTTTCACAATCTAGTTCAAAGGCAAGCCAACATAGCACACTAGGGTTTCATCAAACTATATAATATTGCATTTGTGAACAGTGATCATATCAACTTTCTCTGATACTTTAGAAAACATAAGAAAGTTACAATAAGCCGGCCTTCGTGAACAAACGTGCGTGTGCATGTGCATGCATGAGAGAGAGAGAGAGAGAGAAAAGTTGATGAGAATTGAAGGAGGGGAGATAAACTTTGAAAGGACTGAAGAGGCACGTCAGAGGAAGAGGTCTGCGCGGTACGACGGTCGTCCATTGTCTTCCTTGCTTTGCGAAGGTGTTTCCAATGGCGGTTGCTGTTGTTAAACAGGAGGTATTTTTCTTAGTGTTAGGTTACGAAGAGAGAGAAAGGAAACTGAAACGTCTAAAAGATCGAGGGATATCATAAAGAAAAGAAAAAGGAAAGAAAAGAAATCCCAAAATCTCCTATCTTATTCAATTTCAAATTAGACTTTCTTATTTGCTTTTTTTGGTGCCAAAAACCTATCGAGAGAGGATTTGGTTCGTAGGAAACAATCCTCATTATTCAATCCATTTCGTTTCAATCTTTGAAAGATTGATTGACTTCAACGGTTAAAATTGATATGCTTAATAATTGTCCAAAGGATAGTTTGGAGATTGATTCTCTTTAAGATTGTGCAATGAGAAGATTGGACGCTTATAAAAGGAGATCAGTAATTGTGGAAGAAAGCAGTAAGTAAGTTGAAACACATGATTAAAGATCAAACAAAAGAGAAATGGCGAGTACCGGTCGAGTTCCCATAAAAATCATAAACACGTTGAAAAACTCTTTGACGATTATCTCAGAGCGTCTTTACATGCACTTAGATTGACAATCACGTGAGGGAAGAAGAGAATTGATAGGAAAAGATAGGAAGTGCTAAAGGCATTAAAGACAAAAAAAAAAAAAAAACTAAAACAGTAGTGACTCTCAAATCCCTCTAGATCATTTCGTTGTGACCAAGATGGATTAAAAAAAATACTGAAAATTTTAAGAGAATCATGTAAGAGAAGATTCAAATCTTTTCATGAAGGAAAGATTCGTATGCTTTCTTTTTTCCTTTGACTAAATCAACCAAATAAAATAACTTTTAGATCCCTCTTCCAATCCATTCTTCTCTCCTGTAATTCTCTGTTTGGAAAGGTTGAAAACCTGGAGAATGAATGAAAATAGAAAGAAAGTGGGGGGTGGAGAATCAAAATATCGAGTTGGGAAGACCTGGAGAATAATTAGGTGAAGATTTGGGGTGTTAAAAAAAAATACCTAGGTCACACTATTTTGGTTCGTGGGCCCATTTGTTGATTTTAAAAAATACCTTATAATTTGGCCTAAATCCCTAAAAAACCCCAAACTTTAGGTCTAAACCAATTATGCCCCGAACTTTTTTTCATCTTATAAAAAACCCCAAACTTTAGAATCAGTCCCAAATCTGCCTCGAATTTTGTTTGGTCTAAAAAAATTCACCAACTTTCAATCTATTATCAAATCTATCCCCGTGGCCCAGTCCCAACTTAAAAATGGCATTTCCACATCAATAACAAATCTACATCAACATTGTGACATCGAAAAGTATCTCCCAAATGAAACTGTTCTAGGATATGAAAATTAGGGAGACTAATGACGATTTTTGGGTAAAGGGTTAATGGGGGTAGATTTCAAATCAGAGTAAAAATTGGTGATTTTTTTCGGACAAAATAAAATTGGGGATAGATTTGTGACTAGACATAAATTTTGGAATTTTTTTTAAACAAAAAAAAAAGTTAAGGGCAAAATTAGGACTAGACCTAAAGTTTGGGGGGTTTTTTTTTTTATAGATAAAAAGAAGTTCGAGGCACAATTAAGACTAGACCTAAAATATGAGGTTTTTTTTAGGGAATTAGGCAAAAAAGTCATTTAATGAATAAACATATCTTTTTCCTCTCAATTTCTCTCTCTTTCAAAAAAATCAGTTCTCGATCTTTACCTTTTTGTCACTCCCAATCTTCCCTTTTCCAACCAACATCAAAACAAATAATTTCTTTCGCCAACTTTTTATTCACCTCCCACGTTTTGCTCCAAAACAAAGTATAAATCTCTCCATCCAGACATAGTACATAGCTAGGTAGTCTATGATGTGATACGGCCATCCAAACACAGTATAAATCTCTCTATCCAAACTCGTATTTCATATGCTCGGTCGTATCGTGTAGTACATGATATTTTTATATCTTACTCTCTTGTTTGTGATTAGCTCGTTTTTTTATTACACGAGTGACTGTTTGACATACATGTAATATGAGAAATCTTTTGGTCACACGAGGATTGTTGCCTTCAAATGGCCATGATTGGCTTCAATAGTGAGCCGCCCTCTCCTCTCTCTCGACTTCAATTTTCTTCCTCCTTTTTTCTGATATCAATATATTTATTTAAAATCTTTCTATATCCTAAATGAAATAGATGATCTCAATGCTCTCTTTCCAATCTAAGTACACCATCGCACGTCGAATAGGAAAATTATATCCTATTCGGATTCTAAACCCGATGCATTAAACACATAAGGAAAATTTTCAATTGGATCTGTTTATTTTTATCTAAATTATGTTATTCACGTGAAACGTTGAACGCCCCGAACTTAAAATACAACCAAAAAAAAAAATATTTCGAGACTCATAAAATTTTGTCACAATTTCTTAAACGTAAGAAAAAATTTTGGATTTTCATATAAAATTGAAAAGAAAAATGGCCATTCCGTCGTGTTAAGCGTAAACTAAACATGCTATTAATTTACAAAATAAAAACTTACCGTATATAATTTCCAAAATTCATTATGATAACTACTCGCCCTAACGTAAGTTTCTCAACAGAAAAGGACCAAATCGATAACAAACGCTGTCGTTTCACAGCAAAATTGTGATTGGCAGCTTTTGTAAACGTCGTCGTCTCGCGGCCCTCGACATACCGAAATGACAATTATACACCCCCAGGTCATGCGCGGGAATATGTATCTCCATCCCTCGCCGATCTCGGACGCTCTCACTGAGTCCCTCTCCTCTTCGAAATCTCCGATCCATCGATGGCGAAGCAGGAACCAGCCCGAGTTCTCGTTACTGATGCCGGAGGTACGGTCGGATTCACATCTGCCATTCCCTTCCTTTTTTCGGTAATCTCTTGTGTTGCTCCGATGAATCCAGAAATCTGAACCCCGTGTCGTCGATCGTTCGATGCGGCGAGCCGTTCTGTTCTGGTCTCGTGATCGTTTACAGTATCGTGATCCTCTTGATGCGGCGATCTTGCCTTTTGCTTTTTGTTTGGTTTGGGGTCGGGCGCGCGAGGTTCCGTGATACTTTCTAGTGTCGGTGAATCTATGAAGGGCTTTTTGCGCTTCCGATTTGGTTCCGGCGTAACATTGGACTTTGGTAGGGGCGGATCCTGGCTTTTACTAAAAGAAAACCTATGTGATCCCATTTGTTCGCGACCTATCGTTTTCATGTGTTCATACTGTGATTGACGCATATTCTGATTTCCTTGTCGACCACTGATGTGTATTACCCGTGGGAGAGTTTGATGCATCCGATTGTATCTAGTAGACTTGAATGTACAATTATGAGAGACCTTTTTTGACCATACAGGGCTGGTTGCATTTGATCTCGTTCAACATATCGGTAGCGGAATGCTAGGTCCTGACCAGCCTATGATTGTACACCTGCTTCATCGCGAGACTGATGATGTGGAGGATTTGGATGATCTGAAGTTCATTATGACGCGCTATCGTCTCATTAAAGGTTTGTGTAGCTTCTCTTTCTCTGTTGCTATTAAGCTGACGGTTTTGTTTTGTCTTGGACTTGATAGTAGTATTTGATGATACATCAGGTATTGTTGCAACAACAGACGCTGAGAAGGCATGCAGAAATGTTGAATTTGCTTTCCTGATAGGAAAGGTTCCAAGTCAAACCAGAACCTTAAGATCCCACACTTACAGTTTTAGTGATTACAAGCTCCAGGCTACTGCTTTAGGAAATTATGCAGCTGCCAATTGCAAGGTAAGTTTTTCTTTTTTTAAAGGAAGGATGTGAACCGGAGGCCTAGATACATGGAGATGTCAATTACAAGAATTTTCACCTTCTAGCATGTGTGTAATTCTAAATAGGATGGGACTTCCGCTCAATGTTAGAGTTTCAAAAATGTCCATTTGATCTTGAGACTAGGTTTATTTCCGCTCAATGTTAGAGCTTTTAAAATGTGCTTTTGATCTTGAGACTAAGTTTGCTTTCCTTCCCATTTCTATGATTACTTAATCTGCAAATAGGTGTAGGTGAAATGCTTTTCCATTTTGAAATCTCTTAATTTCCTCTGCATGATAATTTGGTTGCCGAACTGGTAAATGGATGCAACTTTGCATGTTAATAGGCAAATAGCTGAAATGTCTTTTATTCTTGAAATCTTTTAATTTCCTCTACATGAAAAGTTGGTTGACTAATTGGTAAGTAGATACAACAAGCACTGCATGGCAATATCTCGAGATGACTGTTGATCGATAATATTTTAGTCTTTTTCTTTGAGCATGGAAATTATGGCAGGATATTCTAAAAAATGTATGTTCTTAATCATAAGTTTATGAAGTGCGTAGGTTGATCTTCTATTAAATGCCTACAGAAGTTATATTCATCAAGGGATGTTTGAAACAATAAATATTCTCTTTCTTCGACAGGTTTTGGTCATTGCATATCCTGCAGATACAATTGCATTGACTTTGAAGAGATGTGCACCATCCATTCCTCCCAAAAACATTACGTGTCTCACTAGACTGTATTATAATTGTGCATTGGGTCTGATTTCGTCAACATTGGATGTTCCGAATAGGGATGTGAAAAATGTTATCGTATGGGGAAATCACTCGTCACCTCAACATCTTGATGTCAACCATGCTACTGTTAAAACATCGTCCGGTGAATATTCCGTGCGTGAACTCATTAACAATGATGCATGGTGAGAAATCCGTTTTTGTGTTGATTGTTGACAAATTTAGTTGGTATTATGGTTTGAGTTTGCTGAATTTGTAAAAATCTTAATTTGCTGAAAGGTTGAATGGAGAATTTATAGCTGAGTTCAAAAAATGGGTTGATATAAGTAATGGAACTGGGACAATTATAAATGCATCTCCTATTGCCAAAGCTGCTTGCGACCATTTCCGTGATTGGGTGCTTGGAACACCAGAGGTACCGGTCCTTATTTTCTTTTCCTTTTTATTCGATCTCATCTAGTTTATTAGTTCGGCTGTTTTTCTAAGCTCTTGTTCTCTTCTTAGGGCAAGTGGGTTTCCATGGGGGTGTTTTCAGATGGTTCTTACAATGTGCCTAGAGACCTCATCTTTTCCTTCCCAGTAACTTGTCGCAATGGAGAATGGACCATCGTGCAAGGTAAAGAAAATTCTATTTCCCCATTAAAACCAATTACAATCTTCATTATTTGCACTTTCTGCTAGCAAATTCTGTCTAGAAACTGCTGTTAGTCAGAGATTTTTATCTTGAACTTCATCTTTTTGCATCGCAATATGGTATGGCACTCCAATCTTTTCATTAAACTGGTTTCTGAAAAATTGTTTTCGTCTTTTGGTTAGTGGCCTACTTAGTCATTTGGGTTTTGGTCATGACCGTCTTGGTTTGTGGTCCTGATGTAGGTCTCCCGCTTGATGAGTTCTCAAGGAAGAAGATCGATTCGACAGTGGAAGAACTTATGAAACAGCACTTGTTGAATGTTGCCTCTGTTGAAGGCTATCTTCATGGGTAGTATAGTGCTTGATGCCCTCACCACCACCATGCACAGTCCCCTTCCCCTCTTTTCTACGTTCCGTTTGTTTAATTTCACTATCTAATGTTGATATTGAAACACTACTTTTCCTATTATATGTGCTTATTATGAGTATTCCTTTTGTATAATTGTTATGAAAAAAGTAGACCCTCCAAAAAATAATGGTGAATTTGATCGAAGCTCCTGCTAAAATTGGCCGGAGACTGCAAGGCACAAACTGATAACAAAAAAAATAACAACATTCGCTTTGTTTAGGAAGAACTGCACTGAGAACAATCAGAGCTCATGGATCAGACATTTATACTTTTCAACCTGGGACCAGGGAATATATTTAGGAAAAAAGAGAATTTGGAAGCCATTTTAGATTAAGGTTTACACAACTGCAAAGAGCCTGAGTAATTCACTTGATTTTTCAGCAATCAATGAGAAACTTTTTTGTCTTCAGGCTCTATTTGTAAATAAATGGATTGGCGACCCCTTTGTGCCTCATGCTGAAATTCTCTTTACTTGTACCGCCACCTAACATAAATTCCAAAAGGTATAGACTATCAAATGGAAGTTAATTAATTGATAAATTGCTAAAACAATCTCTTACATCCATGTTTTCCACAGCTCATTTACATAACAATGGATTCATTGCAATGTAGAAGTTGACCAACATTGTTTGCAAATAGATGGTTACATTGTACTTAATAAGAACGATGAGATAAAAAGTATGCAAATTTGCTAAAGATTTATTTAATTGATAATATCTTATTTAAAAGACTTTAAAATTTGTTTGAATGTTTGTGGTACGGATACCTCCTCTTCAAAGAATATAGGACCCTACAGATCACTGATAATGATAAATAAGCATAGTCATCCAGTTGGACTTTAAATTGTGAACCGCAACCTAAGTTTGAAAGTGCCAGCAAGCAAGTGCCGGATACTACTTAACTACAAATACACTTGAAAGACAAGTATAATAAACTATAATGCGACTTGTCTTAATCAACTCTAATGATAACATAGTAAACTGAAGGCAAATTCGAATGTTGTCTGGTTTAATTGTATGCATCATTTTCCTCCAATTGAGCCAACCTGTCATGTAAGGCTGGCAATTTGTGTTAGGGGGTATAATGATATTCATAATTGGTCTCGATTAGTTTGAGCATAAATCATCATAAATATGATTCTCTATGCCAAATATTTAATTTGCATATAAAAAATATACCTATTTCGATCTTAATATTTTTAAGAGAATTAAAACTTGTGACAATTGAATTTTATTATTACCTCGTGTTATCTAATGAAACACTAAAAGAATAGTATGTTTGTTTATATTAATAGAAATGATGTAATTATACTTGACATCTAACATAATTATTTGACTAACAAAAATGTATAAAATGAGGTAAAATGAATTATTTTTCCTACAAACAAAAGTGTTATAATTGATAGTGTTTTTGAGTGCCTACTGTAAAGATAATAAAGGTTTTTCATCTTCCCAAACAAAAGCAGAGATGCAAGCAATTCGCGAGTTGGAATTATATATAGGTCCCAAAACAATTATTTAAACGATAAGCATGAGACGTGCGCAATCTTTTTCCAACCTGCTCCTCTTTCTATTTGGCGCGCCTCTTTCAAAGCGGGACCAAATGATTCTCAATATTTTTTAGGGAGGCGAGGCAGCGCATCTCATCAGCAAACATGTTAAACCTAGGCAATCAATAATTCGAAGCTCTTGGAGTAAAGACAAATTACCAATCTAGTACGGCAAATCGTCAAATTCTCACGAGGTTCAACCTTGGGAAATTGGAGAGCGGTGAAATATTGAACCCGCTTGAGTAATGCCACCAGTTTCAAAAAGTGCTTCCAATTTAAGATCACGGAATTTCGTCAGAAACCGCCACCGGAAACCATGCTCCTCGTCGTGGCTCGACAATTATTTACAAGCCCATTTATCAAGGTGATGGAGCGCGGACAGGTACTGCTTCTAATAGACAATTTAGCTAAACCCAACCCACCAAAGAAATGTGGATTCTTCAATATAGAGAGAGGGATGAAAATGGATACGAGCGCTGCTTCAAATAGACAATTTGGTCATTACTTCTTGTTCCAACAACTTCGCGCTAACTCCTCCAAATCTAAAGTGTTCTATTCCAGGGAACAATGGCATAGCATTCTGGTGGGGACAACCCCGTATTTGTATGGACAAAAATTTCGGAAATGATGATTGTGAACTGTACTATCGATTATCATGATATGCTCCCACAACTTGTCTTCCTCCCAACAAATGTTGCCACAGTTGAGGGAATACTTATGTCAAACAATCAAATCAAAGACGATTTTTCTCACCAAGCATCATCCTTAATGAGTTCACGCACATGTTTTTCACCAAATGGGGTATTGACAGTAGCATGGTTGACATCAAGATAACGACTTAACGAGTCACTTCCCCATACGATCACATTTTTCAGATCACGACCTGGAACATGCAACCTGTGGGCAATAATACCTAAAAATATTTAATTTTTAGGTGCCGAAAAAAAAATATATATATATATAAAAATCAAAAATTTTAAAACTTCACAGAATGACTTAGAATGCCTCTAGCCATCCACTTTGAGTGAAATTTAATTTTTTTTAGGTGCCTAAATGGTTTTTTGATTTTTAATTTTATTTCTGGAACAGAAACCCGTTTGATAACATAACAAAATTTCTATTTCCTGAAACAAAAACCCGTTTGATAAACAACACAAAATTCTATTTCCAGGAACAAAAATCCATTTTTTTAGAAATGGAATAAAAATAATTACAAAATCCAAAAAATTCCTAAAAATCTCAAAAGAAATCCAAAAATCCAAAAAAATTTGAAAAATTCTAGAAAAATTAATCACAATTTCCAAAAAAAAAATTCAGATTTCGGGAAAATAGGAAATTTGTTGAATTTTTTAAAAAAAATCAAAAATTTCAAAATTTCATAGAATGGCTTAAAACACCTGTGGCCACCCACTTTTAGTGAAATTTAAATTTTTTTAGGTGCCCAAAAAAAATCAAAAAATCAAAAATTTCAAAACTTCACAGAATAGTTTAGAATACATATGGCCACCCACTTTGAGTGAAATTTAAATTTTTTAAGGTGCCCAAAAAAATTCAAAAACTCAAAAATTTCAAAACTTCACATAATAGTTTAGAATACCTGTGGCCACCCACTTTGAGTGAAATTTTAATTTTTTGAGGTGAAAAAAAAGCAAAAAATCAAAAACTTCAAAACTTCACAGAATGACTTAGAATATCTGTGGCTACCCACTTTGAGTGAAATTTAAATATTTTTAGGTGCCGAAAAAAAAATATAAAAAAATCAAAAATTTTAAAACTTCACAGAATGACTTAGAATGCCTCTAGCCACGCACTTTAAGTGAAATTTAATTTTTTTTAGGTGCCTAAATAGTTTTTTGAAAAAATCCCAAAAGACCGATAGTAGAAACATAAACGAATTGCAAATGCTAAAGGAACAAATGGGGTGGCATATTGCAGAACCGGCAGCTTATCTTTTAATTAAAAAAATAGTAAAAAGCTCATCTAAAATAAATCAGAAAATGCAAAAAAGAAGAGGAAACTAATATAATGCCTCCCTAACCAAATTTCATATTTTTCCGATAGGCCACAGGCCACTCAGCTTATTCTATTGGAATACTAATTCCACTAGGTAACCATTTCTAGCACGGACCTAAAACCTCCATTAAAAACTCCCATTAAACTTAGGATCAAATCTTACTTCAAACCAAAAAGAAAGCACAGAAGCTAAAGTTCCAACGATTACTCTCGAGTTCGGGTTCCACTTGAATGCCAAGGATGTCGCGGGAAACCGATCTCTCTGGGCGAAGCAATGAGCACTCGACCTTACTTATATTATAAAGGGAGGGGAAATTCGATACAGATTGTTGATGTTCCATATAGTAGGCAACATCTCAGGCATCAAGAGTCCTGAGGCACGAAGTATCAAACCTGACCTATCTTGGGCTAGCGGTGACCGGCTTTCGGTTCAGTTTCCTTAAAATCTGAAGGATCGCGATACAAAAACACGATGCAAGAAGTACGACCTAAGCGAACCAAATCAAGTCATCGCATGTAAATGGTCACGACACAGGTTCAGTTTACTAAAATCCTCCAATGAAAGGATGAAACTCTCACGAAAACCATATATCAAAACAAGACGATCACAAGATTAAAAAGTAACAGATAGCATTCCCCAATACTTGCAGTGACGAGAACGCGGACGGGTTTCTTGTCCATTGACGGAGATGGAGATAAATCAAAATAAGAAGAGAGAAATTTGATATATACCAGCCTATTTATAGGCTTTATTATATGACTAAGATAACATATCATATGCATAATCTTGAGAGATATAGAGAATCAACAGGAACATATCCTAATTATCTCTAACATCTCTCGTCAAATTCAAGAATTCTAGAAGAAGCCAACTTGAGATTGGATAATTAAGATTCGAAAAATGTCCATCGATATAGCCAAAGCAGTTGGATGTGTAAGATAGGATATTTGGTATCTTAGCTTTTACTTCAATTTGTAAGATAGGATATTTGCTCTCGCAATGCTAGTTGATCTTTTGCAAAAACTATATAAAAAAAAATAAAAGCTCTCAATCACGAAAATGTATTGGCTAATTGAAGCGATGCATTCATTTTCCAATTAACTTACTGCATGTGTTATTTTTTACGATACTAAATTACACCTTATTTTGCTTGGCTTGCCACACCATATGTGAACGGCACGCGAGTAAGCCTTACTTAACACCCCAATTAACCATCTGTCAAGATTACGTATGGCATACGTCGAGTCTTGTTAAAAGCCACCAATTCCCTATGTTGGTTTTTTGCAAAGTATCGTTAATTTTGTCCATCACATCATTCGTAAAATACTTGTATACAATATTTTATCGTGGTAAGAAGTCTCCTATACATAGTACATAATACTGACTAATATTCCGTCGCTTGAATTTTGTTTTAGGGACCTCGATTTGGCCGGCGTCGTTGTTCAACTTAGGAGATGGGTGCACACAAAGGCTATGCCAGATCAGGCCATGCACAACATAGAAGTAGTATGATTGGTCGATTGCACCGTATCAATGGTTTGCAATTTACGCTTAGTACGTATTTGTGTGGCGTTGAATGAGCATTAGGTATTTTTGTAATTTATCCCTTTTTCTCATATTATCTCGTGCAGCACAAGTTGTCGCCTTCTTTAAGTGACTTAATACCCTTGTTAGTCATGCAATATACGTGCTAGGGTTTTCTTGCATCATTCTAAGGTCTCTAGAAAACATCTTCTTCTTCTTTTATAACTTAAGGATGCAAAAGTGCCCGACTATCTAAAGGCTCATGAAATGCCTTGCAAACCTTTAAAAAAACATTGGGCTGTTTGAGTAATAAAAGAAACAACTTTCTTCGGCCTAGGATGTTGGCAAAACTGTCAATCGATTGTAAATGTGTTTGTTCTCATTCTTGGGTTCGATCATTTATCCATTCTCTTGTTGAGTTTTTAGGCACTTTGTTGACAAGGGTCTCCGCTGCGAAATATCATTAGCTGCTCCGGATACACATGAGCCCGGTCGATGCGAGTGCGAACCACCCAATCATGTAGGCCCTACTTGATCCAATGGCTTAGATCAATTGGGGTTATGTGCGTCGGGATCGTGAAATTATTGCTCCTTCACTACACTTTTTTTTTTTTTTGATCGGATCCTTCACTACACTTGGTTGGGTGACAATATGCAAAATTTGCGGTTCTCAATGCACCGACTCTCCTCACGATGTGTGCAGTTAGCCTTGGAGGTCGAATATATTATCAAATGTACATAATAAATGTCTCGAATGCACTTGCTAACGGTAACTGTATCCTTTTGTAATTTATTTTTTTGATCACGTGCTTGGTCTGGGTAAATAATTGTCTGAACCCGGGTCGGGTCCGCAGGACCAAACCCATCACATTCAAGGTTTTCAAGGAGTCGCCCATCAAAGCACGTTTGCCATTCCTCGTACATCCAAATACCCGTTCCTGCATCCAAAAACATTGGCCACCCTAATTGACGCGCTCCTCCCTGAGGAGCTCCTCCCAAGGACGCTGGTTATTATACTTGATTAATTAATCAAACCATGAATGCATTCGCATGAAATCGATAATAAGCTTTCTTTACGCAAAAGGAAAATGGTACAAATGATTCATAAACTTTGACCTAATACGCAATCTGATCCCTTAAACTTTTAATTTGTTCAATGCGGATCCTAAATTTTAGCACAATATGCGATGTCGTCCATGAAGTTTAGCCCAATTTGAAATAATGGAGAAATCAACATTGAACATTTTCATATAGTTCAAAGACTAAATTGAACATATACCAAAACTCCAGGGATCACAACGAACAAATTAAAAGTCAATGGACCACATTGCATATTAAGATAAAGTTTAAGAACCACATTGAATAAATTAAAATTTCATGTAGAGCCAAAGTTTAAGAACCGTTCATATCATTATTCATTACGCGAACTATATGTTAGCCAGCGAAATTTCTGTATCTGAGCAGCCGGTTCGGCTCGGTTCGAACGGTTCGAACCGCTCTACGCCGACGACCCTCGTCGACCCGGTTGATGGAAACCGCGCCAGATATTTCTTGTCCTCGTGCTGAGATCGGCAATCGGCCGTACAAGAGCGGGCGTCCTTTCAAAAAACGCTCGTGTTTCTGATAAGAGTCGAGCGTCCACGAGCACTCCGCGCTGCGACGAAGCTCTTCGTTCGCTCCGCAGAAATGGCGTCCCCGGTCGCCCTCGCTCCGACCCCTCCCGCTTCTCCCTTCTCCGCCGGCGCCGGAGCCGCGCGTCTGCTCTGCCGGCTCGGCCTCGGCGGCGGCGGCCGCGCCGCGTTCCCCCGACGGCCGTTGTCCGGGGCGGCGGGGAGGCGTCTCTGGAGGAGCCGATTCGAGCCGGGAGCGAGGGCGAAGCTCGGCGAGAAGAGCGCGTTGGAGTACAGGAAGCTCGGCGACTCCGACCTCGTAATCAGCGAAATCACGCTCGGCACGGTACGGTTCCGTCATTTGGCGCTTGATTGTTCGGCCGATTTGTGTTGGGACTGCAGGGTGTATAATGACGTGCCTTTTGCTTGAACTTTTTTGCGTCGTGGTGTTGGTTCCTCAACTTTGATGCTCGATGTGCCTAGTTTCAATTTCAAACGCTCTTCCCTGTGTGGATATTCGGCGGAAATGAAGTTGCGTGCACTACTGGTGATCGGCAGGATTCAAAGTAGACTACATTTTAGGATGTTGGATCGGGCGAGCCAAGCGCTTGTAAACGGCAGACTGAACGATCAAATTGAGAATTACAAGCAGGTATATCTTTGCATGGAAAGAAGAAGTCTTGGCTAAGCCTTAGGCTAGTGAGTCCCAAGAGGCAGAGTCAAAGCAAGGTGTTAGCAAACTGGCATACTTCACTAAATCAGTCTAAGCCGGAAAGCCGTCACAAGCAGGAAAAGTCTAGCCGCCTATTCGATTCCGAAATTCCTGCTAAGATTAGCAGCGCTTACTCGAGCAGCGGTTACGCAAAGAGCGGATATTGCAAAGAGGTTGTAATGCTAATTATATAAATTCCATGAGGAATCAGCCATAAAACTGAAGAACTGGCTAAACTTATGCAGTAATGGAGATTTTTATTATTAACATCTGTGATTGCTTTCTTTGTTTAGTACTGATTGACTTTACAATTTTCATCTCCCAATATGAAGCCTATAAAAATTATGAATGGAAAAGCACATTTGTCTATTCAAGTTTCACGTAGCTTGTCTCTTTGCCACGCCTTTATGGAATAGCCTTCTCATTATGCTTCTTGCGTTTCAGAATTTTGGTTTTCTTTTTCTATTTGTGGGAATATGGATTTTCCTGTATTAAGTGGATCTATATATAACGGGTGTTTATTATGTTTTATCCTAGATAATGAGTGGTCTGCTACATTTCAGATGACATTTGGTGAGCAGAATACAGAGAAAGAGGCCCACGAAATGCTCGGTTATGCATGGGATCATGGTATCAATATTCTAGACACTGCAGAGTCTGTAAGTATATCGCTTTATCTTCACACTTCTTAAATAGATCTTCAATCTTACTTGCTTTCGATTCTTATGTAAGTTATATAGGACAACCACTAGACAACTATTCTTTTAATATCTTATCGTTTCTTTCTTCACAGTTCAGGTCTAGAAATTTCATTGCATAGGAAATAAGTTATGCGTTCACTTGCTTGGATTCCTCCCTCCTTTAATGCACATGGCTGCATATGTTCTAAGTGAACTAATACATTTCTAGAAAAAATAATTGCATCCACTAGATGTGTATTTTCCCATATTATGAGCAGACATCTAGTGGAGTTTTCTGTGCATATTTTTTTTGGCATTATTGTATACCAACATATACGTAAACTCCGACTTTCTGCAGTATCCCATTCCAATGAAGAAGGAGACACAAGGAAAAACTGATCTATATATTGGTAGCTGGCTGAAGTCCCGGCCACGTGACAAGGTATGGAGGGTTTAATCCATCTCTTACGGACTATCACTTTGTCTACGGTGGCTTATAAAACCAATCTTGAGAATCATCTTCTGGGACTTTGAGTTTCTAAAAGCGTTCATGCTTTATGAATGGTCTAGGGAAGACGATGAACTTCATGTTGTGTTTAAATGGATATGTCTTGTTCGACTCTCCATTTTTTCATAACAGTCGCTTAAGGTTACTGCGAGATGTGTGGTGTCTCATTTAAGCTCCTCAGAAAGGTCAACGTAAAATTAGTCTCTGGATGTGCCGCTGATGTTTTGCACATTAATCCTGTTGATTAGTGGACAAATAATTTTTTTTTTGTTTTTGATAATCGAGGTGTCCGCGCGGCCGGCGAGCTAGGGCTCAAACCAGCGGTGATGCCCGACTAGTCCTCGACGGGGGCTAACGCAGCATTAGTAATAGGATAAATGAATCTAATGGTCTATGGAAAATGGTCTTAAAACTTTGATAACTTCTTAGAGAGATTTTTCAGTTGCTCCTAGAATGCTGTAGTTCTCCCACATTGACGTGTCTGTTCTCTTTTCAGCAAATAAGAAAAGGCACAATACAACAACAAACGATGCCTCACCCACTAATTGTGGCCGGCTGTAAGGATCGTATCACGCCATTACACCCAATCCTTCATTAGATCCTTTTTATGCTCTACATACTCCCTATCTTTCTTTATCGTCTCCTTCCTCATCGTTCAAGGTCTTCTCCTGCCCCTTTAAACCCATTTTTCCATCCCTTGCTCACATCTCCTCACTAGGGCATTCGCAGTTCTTCTCTCAACATGGTTGGTAGAGCGGAATATAGCCTTTGTTGGAGAGGAGAAGCCCATTATTGTGATTATGCAAAGTTGGTTGAAAGTCTTAAACTTTTGGTATAGTTGGAAGTTATGTGTGGATGCAAATGCTCTAATCGACATGTGAATGATTTGTCTTGTCAGTGAGCTCGTTTTGTTCTAAGCTTCTTTGTATATGGGTTTGCACCCCCTTGGTGCTCTCTAGTAGTCTTTTCTTTAACCTATAAAAAAACATCGTCAAACCATCTCAATTGTTCGTCTCTCATCTTCTTCTCGATTGGAGCTATGCCTACCTAAGATTTATTTCTATGTCGTCTTTTTCTTGTGTGTTCCCATATCTGGCAAAGTATTGTTGTCTCTGCCACTTTCATTTTAAAGCACTTGAAAACAACAGAAGTTTCTAATTTCAACACTCTTTTGATCTGGCATGTAGTGGCACTGTATAAGTGCACTTAATACGAGTTGGATAAGCCAAAGCTTACGGTAACTTTTACTTTGTCTTATGTTTTGGATCTCTACTTTAAGACACTGTGTCATCTCATTCTTCCATTTGGTTAGTTTTAGGAGTTGCAAGCTGACATTACTGTAAAGGATAACAGAGGGTTGATTTGTGTTCAATCAGTAAGTACAGCAAGAAACTACTCTATTAGATGAGTGGAAGAGGAACATGTTCTCTGCTACCTGTTCCACAAGAGCATAGGTATTCAACTTATTTCCAGGTCCTGAGAGTTAAACTTCATGACATAGAGAGTGACTCATTTAGTAGGTTTATTGTCAGCAATTTGGCATTACAGTGGCTCTCTATGTGAGAAGAGCCTATAAGGCATGGCCACTGTTTAGTACACAAACTGAGAGGCAGAATGTCGATGATGTATTTAATGGTTTTGTGAAATCTAGAGTATCTAGTCTTTCAGCATTGGTGAAGGATGCTCTTACATTTTCCTGGGGTAAACTACATGGGTCATCATTGTGGCGAAAAAAGGTTTTGGAGTTGCTTGTCCAGAATGTTAAGTATTTATTGGGTGAGAAGATTTCCAGGAAAAAACTTAACCTATTTGGTGAGAGTATACATACCGCATGCTTGCGTAATGCTGGACATTCAATTGAGTTTAAACTGATGGACAACAGTTAACAACAATATCGTACTTGTGTTGTAAACGAGCATGGTGCTGGGACATGTTAAAAAAGAGATTTGAATGGGTTTTAATGCCATGTTGAGGGATTTACCACTCAAAATCTTAAAAGCAGTATGTGTTTATGTGTGTAAGGCCCAGGTGTACAACTTCTGAGCAATTTTGGATTCTAAAGCTTTGATTTTTCGTTAGATTTGATTGAGAGCTTATTTGTTCTTCTTCTGCATTTTGATACAAAAGAATATGGGACCAGGCAGTATGTTTCTCATAGATATAGTATGCTACCATTTTGTGCTTTCAATTGAATACTCTTTCAATTAACCTGGCAATGACTCTCAGAAACTGCAGAAAGCATTTTTTAACATGCCGATATTTGTCGCTACACACTGTGTCGTCCACACTTCAGTTATTACACCACTAAGTGAACTTGTTTGAGTTATTACCAAGAATGAAGATCACCAACTAAAGAAAATTCATGTAATATTAACGTCTCTAATTATGGATGTATTTATCATTTTTACATTTTAGGTCATTTTGGCAACAAAAGTATGTGGCTATTCCGAGAGATCAAGTTATATCCGTGAGAATGCAAAGGTTTTACGGGTTGATGCTGCAAATATTAAAGAAAGTGTTGAAAAGAGCCTTAAGCGCCTCAACACAGACTACATTGATTTGCTGCAAATCCATTGGTATGCTAGTCAATCATATGTGAGAAATGACAGTAATTAATGGCAGAATGGAATTGAGTTAATTCTTAATTTGTGAATGCCATTTCATGTGAGTTGATTGGATCGATCTTGGTTTGTGCTTTTCACTCCCTTTCTCCTTTTTTTGGCCAACTTGATTTGTGCATTCACCCTCCCTTTCTTATTTCTTGTATGACGATACTCAATGACTCTGAGACCAGGGGCTTGTAAGAGACTGCATTAGGTGCGAAGTCAAACATGTTTCAACGTAAAACTTTATTCTTTTCTTGTAGATCTCTTAACGTCTTTTTCTGCATCTGCAAATCAGTTTGAGATTTAGGTACTCCCTCTGCCTGTTTCTTATGAAGAACATGATCTATTTTCTGCTGTTGTGTAGACATTGGGAACTGGAAGAGCATGATGCACTTTAATAACCTTCCCCTGATCTCCGTGTGTGCACATCACTGTTCTTTGTGCATGAATCCGTGGTACATTAGCATGAACGGACCGGCACATTTTTGTTTATCTGGAATGAACACTGAGCACTTACTTTTACTTACTTAAATTTGTATTTTCATATTAGCTAGACAGACCACCACATTAGATGTGTATTTTATAGTATTTTGCTCAGTTCATCCAATCATGATACAGTTCTCGTTTCACTACTCTGCATGCTTGATAACGTCTTTTTCTGCATCTGCGAATCAGTTTGAGATTTAAGCACTCCCTCTGCCTATTTCTTATGAAGAACATGATCTGTTTTCTGCTGTTGTGTAGACATTGGGAACTGGAAGAGCATGATGCCCTTTAATAACCTTCCCCTGATCTCCATGTGTGCGCATCACTGTTCTTTGTGCATGAATTTATGGTATATTAGCATGAACGGACCGGCACATTTTTGTTTATCTGGAATGAACACTGAGCACTTACTTTTACTTATTTAAATTTGTATTTTTATATTGGCTGGACAGACCACCACATTAGATGTGTATTTTATAGTATTTTGCTCAGTTCATCCAATCATGATACAGTTCTTGTTTCACTACTCTGCATGCTTGATTTACCAAAATTGCTTCTCCATCTCTCTGTTAGCATAATAATTGGTTAGTGGATGCTATTTGAGAATTGTAATCTTCAGAAAAACTAGGAAAAAAGGGTTTCTTGGTTCCACCTTTGGAATGCCTTCATGATAAATTTGTGATTACTGTAGCTGTGATTATTTGTGGCCTGCATCTTACGTACCCTGAAATCCCAAAGAAGTGAAAAAGGTACATGGTAGTAATAAAAAGTGAATGAAGTCTAATGTTTCATTATTCTAAGCAGTAAAATTAGACAGAACTGCTCCTAACTTCTTTTGATTTCTCCATGGACTCTGTATAAGTTCTACTTCTTTATTTCTGAAGATTCTTGTTTGCTGTTCTTCTTCTCTGACTAGAAGATTCATGACAGGCCAGATCGCTATGTTCCATTGTTTGGTGAGTATGCCTATGATTTCTCTAAATGGAGGCCTAGTGTACCTTTTGTAGAGCAGTTGAAGGCTTTTCAAGAGCTTATCGACGAAGGGAAGGTGACTTATAATTTTCTGCTAATTTTCAATTCTAGTGTCTCAGGCAACCTATTTCCTTACTGCAACAATTTGATGAATTTGAATGATAGTAATTTACCTTACGCCCAGAAGAGAATGCTCATCCTTTGAGATTTTGAAATGTAACTAATTTGCTTAGTGTCATATCTTCTGCCTTTTCTGAATGGTCTAAGCTGATCAGTGCTTGGGAGATCTAAACTCTTCTCATAAGGGGTCACAGCTAAAGAGATCTACACTTGTTATCGCTGTTTGAGCAACAAATAATGCATTTGAATATATAGGAGTAGATACAAAATGCACTGGCCGTAGATTTCATTGAAGGAATTGCCTATGACAACTAGAATTGAAACTTGCTTCTGCATGTTCAGAGTCACATTGTCAACTTGAATTACTTATTTGGAAATAGAAAAGCAACAGACACAGAAGTGTACTCTCAACTTAACTGAGGATGCCAAATTTGATCAGGTTCGTTATATTGGCGTTTCAAACGAGACTTCCTATGGAGTGATGGAGTTTGTTCATGCAGCTAAAGTTGAGGGATTACCAAAGATTGTAAGCATACAAAATAGCTACAGTTTACTTGTCAGATGCCACTTTGAAGGTAAATCCTTCTTCTAATGAACATTTGCCTAGAGGATATTGTAGGGAAACAGATATTTCAAAGATTGAGGATACTAATCATGTGCTTTGGACAACTAAATATTCCCATCTTCTCAAGCGTTGCCGCTGCTCTACACGTAGCAGTGGGATGGATGGCTATCTTCTTTCTGATTGTTGAATTTTCCCATTAGATTTGTTTGATAGGTGATGTGAATGGATGGACAGATAATAATATTTGCAGGGGGATGTCACTTTATGTTGAAAGAAGGCATGGCTAATCTGTCTTGTCATTCCCCAAAGCTAAAAAGATGCATCCATAGATTCTCTTTTGAAATGCTGATAACAGCACATCTGTAATTTCGTTGGAAGGACAATCAGTAATGACATTTCCCATTTAATTTGTTGCAGTCGATCTTGTGGAAGTTTGCCACCCAAAGAACTACAATATAGGGTTACTTGCTTATTCTCCACTGGGTGGTGGATCCCTCAGTGGGAAGTACTTAGATATCAATTCTGAAGCTGCAAAGAAAGGGAGATTGAACCTATTCCCTGGTTACATGGAGAGATATAACAACTCTCATGCCAAGGTATGTTGAGGAACTGGAAATTGTTCGATCGTATCAGGAGAAGCTAGAGGCCCTCAATTTTTAGTACTCACCGGTTAGGTTCTCCTGCTGAAAACTTGAAAAGGAGATGCATCTGAAATAGGGAAGAGCAGGGGCTTAATTAGGATGATTTTCCTGAAATTGTTTTTTCTCTGTTGTTTAATTTTTTGCATTGGGCTCTATTCTTCTCTTTATCCGGCTACACATTAAGAAATCATGGTCTATCAAGTGGGGCACATCTTGTGCTCTGCTTTTGACGGACCAAAGTGGCATCTCAGTAACCATCCTCGTATCTCATTCTCAGGAAGTAACCATAAAATATGTTGAAGTTGCTCAGAAATACGGGTTAACCCTCGTTCAACTTGCTCTTGCATTTGCAAGAGATCGGCCATTCATGACGAGTTCAATTGTCGGCGCAACCTCCGTCGAGCAACTAAAAGAAGACATTGATGCTTTTCTAACAGTTGAGAGGCCTTTGCCATCTGAAATAACGGCAGACATTGAAGCCATTTTCAAGAGATACAAAGATCCGGCCATCCTTTAAGGTCAAGGCTCGAGAAACTTTGTGAGCAAAATGCAATTCTTTGCTAGTCTCCTTAGTTATGAAAGTTCTGTATGTACCAATTCGACTCTTGGTTCATCCACCACATAGGCCATGTCTGCAAAAGTCTGGGATTTTGTATTTGTATATTCAACACATATTCCTGTATGATAACTTGCCGAGAAAACTTACTTTTTTCTTGGTCGAGCAATGAAAATACACCATTTTTTCCATTTACCTATTCTCCAACTTGACAGGATGAGATTCTTCACTATTTCATATGACCGATTTCTCGGTGTCTAGAGTTGGCTGGTCTCAAAGATGAATGCTTCCTGGGATTCGCTCGACAAAAAATGTATGGAGTACGAGCTTTGCATTATAACTTTCTATTCACATACATATTCTGCCACATGCATCTAGGTCAGGAACACCGTTGATAGGATCGCAATACTAATTAGGATCATGTCGAGGTCTTGGAGGATCGGATCGTAGGGTCGGAGAGAGTGTCCCGACATAATAGTATCGGTTGGGGGTGGTGTTGCATATATGTTCTGTACTATAAAGGAACATCAGATTTGCCAGATATGTTGCGTGTAAGGTTACACAGTACATTACAGCTATCAGTAAGCAAAACAATCATTCCAAGACAGAATACTGCAAAGGAAGGAGTCTGTACAGAAAATTTTGCAATTATCACACCATTCTCATGCGCCCCCTACTTGAAAAATTCACGTGTTGGTGATAAGTATGCAATACGTAGATTTGGTAAGTCAATCCAGACGAGGGTCTATACAAATGGGGCAAGTTACGTTTTGCCCCCTCGAATTCTGTGAGTTGTGAGTTTCCCCCATGAGGTTTCGACTCTCGTCATGTCCTCCCCGATCTCTTGGAAATCCATTGTAACCTCCCCCTGACTCCACCCAATTTTAGCCGGAGCTCCAGTCGCATGCATGTCAAAGTGGGGGAAGGGGACTGTGTGCGGTGGTGGTGAGGTCTACTATTGCCATAGCGCCCACGAAGTCATCAGCGGTGTCGCGTTCATCGAAGCCGCAGCTGAGAGAACTCTCGTGGCCAACCATCAATAGGCCCGTCTTTTTTTCCTGAGAAATAATGCTGTTCCTGGTGTCCTGCTTATGCTTGCATTAATACTGGTTAATGTTGTCGAAGCAATTTCAAGGATGAATTCGGCATGAGCACATAATGAGGGAACTCAATTAGGGATCAGAGTTTTTCTAGTTGCATTGATTTGGAATTTGAAATGTTGTACAGTTCCGTTTATTTCTTATCCTGCCTAGAAAGCAAGAGACTTACGAATGAAAGGCCTCTTTTCCTCTATCCTTTGCCTCTCAATCGGAGCGGTAACTGTTAATTTAACTCTAAGTGCCAAAGGTTTTAATTTCTTTTGGAGTAACCAGTTTCCAGAGTCCAAGTCTAAGATGTCATCAGTTGTTGTTGACAAAGTCAAGATATAGAGCTTGCATGCACGCATATCCTGCATAAAAAGTGTAAGGATGTAGCTTTGGGGGACATTGTCACCCCTTCTCCGGCATGCAGCTCAATCATGCCAGTGCTAGTGATTCTGTAATATCATCCTTCCATTTAGTACTGAAAAATTAGCAATCTGTCTGCTTTGAAATATCATTGGACTGTCATTCTGTCAAAGGACAAGAGGCAATTGCACTGCACTGTTAGAGGGAAGTTATGTGCATTTTGAAGGAAAGCTATCGATTATTAGACTTATTGACATGAGAACTTCTTTCTAGGAAAAGAAGCCAAGTGTGATTAAGGATGATGTCCGTAACTATCGTTCCAATTATTTCTATGATTCATGTGCTTCACCCGTTGTCACCAGAAAGAGGTATATGCTCAGCGCTTTGATTGCTGGCAACAGTTGTTTTATTACCAGAATGGGATTGACATGCCTGTTCATCTTGTATAGTTGGCAAAATCTGCAATAAAATTAACCATACCTATGATATGAGCCCATTGATTGATGAGCACAGAAGATACACCAAATCCATCTTTCATCCGGGATTTGAGTATTGGTCATTGTCACTCTCAAGTATATTACAGAATGACCTAGTCGAAAGGGGTAGTGATAGCATTGTTGTTGGTTGCATTTAATGGTTGAATAGGCTAGAACTGCCTCAGAAGTTGATGTCACTAATTGTTGGGCATTTCTTGATGAGCAGTCCGTTTTCCCGATCATCTTATGTAGGATAGACACACAGGTAATTGTCCAATCCTGGATGTGTTGGTTTTTACGTCCCTCTCTTTCAAATTTAGCAGTGAGCACTGTTCTCATCGCTTATCCATTAGCACAAGCATGATATACATGGAAATTATTCTCAGAAAAATTTATCATTGTCTAAAGTGCTGTTATCTGGCTGTAATGTCGGGTGTTTCCATCTCCCTAAGCTGGTTTCTTCAACCAGGTCTACAGGGTTTCTGATATGGAACTTGAGAGACTTCTTCCCAGTGCTGAAGATGAAGTAAATGTTGCACGCTTTCACCCATTAGTTGGAGGTGGCCTGGTTTATGGAACAAAGGTGAATAAATGTAATATAGTATGACTGGATCACGGGCTCACAAGCTATTCTTAAATACTAGCATTTCCTTCTCTAATATTCAGGAAGGGAAGCTAAGGATTCTCCATTATGACGGTCCTGGTGGCTTGAATCCAAAATCAGCTAGTTTTCTTGATGAAAACAGGGCAGAGGTGAACAAAGTTCTGTGCTTAACTGGTGTTTGTTAGATTTATGCATTAATTGACAGTTATCTATGAAGAAAGGCCAGGCCTTTGGGTTACTGTTGAGCTTCCATTTTGTAGAATTCTTTGGAATTTGCCAGCAATGCCTGCAGTCGAATGTTTTAGTTGACCAGAAATCACCTGCTATAATAGTCTATTATCTTTTGTTGGGGTGGGGGAGGGTTGTTGTGGATATGATTCTTTTGCAATGATAATTTACCTCTAGCTCTCAAACTAGGTCTTCATGTCTCTATTAATGAAGTTTGTGCTCATTGTACTTGAACTTGTTTTATTGGGTTGCTTTATCAAAATAACAACTTTAGGCAGCATCTGGTTATGTCTTAAAGTCAGTTGTTGGTAACTGAGCTGAATGTTGAGTGCAGGTTCATAAACTAACCTTATCTATGGAGCAGAATAAGTGTATATTTACATGTTGAGTGTAGCTGCATAAACTAACCTTATCTATTCCCTTCATAGGCTCCTACATATGCTTTAGAATGCTGGAAGCTTGGAAGCGCAGCATGCTTGTGAAATTTACTGCTCGACCTTAAGGGTCTGTTTTCTGTTTTTTCTTTTTTGTCGAAATGAATCCATTTAAGTTTTAGTAGTATTTAATATCCAATAATAATTAGTTATTTTCTTATTTTTATGTGTCTGAGGTTGCAACGGCAGCTTTGCGTCCATGAATAGCCCTAATACGGGGGTGTGATGCACAAATTTCATTTTGAAATGAATTTGATTTCTTTTGGGTATATCTTTCTCTCTGTGTATCTGTCCAAGAACCAGCATCAGTTTGGTGCAAGTTTTAAATTGCTATTTTGAGTGCTTGCATCTTAGAAAGACCTAGAACCCTTTAGGAGGTGGTACTTGGATTTGAGCATAGTAATTTCGACATAAATTGAATTTAGGGCTTTTCTGCTGTGGAAAGTGAAACAGTTTTCAAGCCCAATTCATATGTAGCACCAAGTTTGTCATATTGGGATCTATGTTTTATTCTGCTAGCAATCTTTCAAAGCATATTATGTCAAAACGGGGAAAAAGTTCATCGATTATATTATCTAAGATAACTCATCGGAGTTGTTATTAAGTGATAACATTGCAGATGAGATGATAAAATGTCACTTCACTTCCCATGCAGGTTGTGGCTTGAACGAAGCTGTATCTGTTTTTCCACTACTGTTAATCCTGAGCCAGACCGTGAGGTCCTCGTTCGATTACTCGTCAAATGCAATTATGTACCATTCTTTGCTATTTGCGAGAGATGTCTTCCACTGTCAAGAGCCTTAGGAAGTTGATCTAACTCGGAAGTAGATGTGTTAGGGCAAGACATCTCGGGATTTATGTTGAGTGTGTGTCCGTTTTGATGCCACAGACATACTTGTCACTTGTCAAGCCATTGTTTGATGACCAATGGGAGGCGTGCCACGTGTGTTCGCTCGTCTGATGAGCTTGTGGTGACAGCTAAGCGCATACAGAGAGAGAGAGAGGGAGCCATGGTCCATAGGAAGGAAGCATCCAAGCGAAGCAAACACGCGATGCTTTTGCTCGAATCCAATTCATTATGAATGAGATGGATCTTTTTCGATCCTTTTGTTCGAACTTTCCTCATTTGTACCGAACCGCTTGCGGAATCAAATCATGCTCCCGAAGATCCTATACCGGCTATACATTCATCTTGCGTTTTATGTCGAAGGCCGACTTATCTTGTCTTTTTTATCTCGAGCATGCTGCTAAACAAAGCGAGCGGTGGGGCATAGACCGGACCAGACCGACCCTACTTCGTCGGGATTGTGAGAACTCTCTTCAAGCGGATCGACAAGGGTAAGATCGACTCACTTGCCCATCGACTCGACCAATAGAATGTATATAAACATGATAAGGACCAGGCGAGAGTTGTAGTTTTCATTGTAAATGAATAAAGATGAAAGAGAAAGATCAACCCAAGATACGTGTTGCAATAAATACGAATTATGTACCTTTGGTCATCGTAGCCGTATATTCAAGTGCAATAAGACATGTTTAGTAGATATCAAGTACTACAGGAAAAATAAAAGGGATAAGTATACCGGAAATCCTAAAATTTATAATAAAAGTGCAATTGAGTTCTAAATCTTTCATAAAGTGCAATCAAATCCTAAAATTTCTCACAAAAATACAATAAAGCCCTATAACTTTTTAAAAGTACAATCAAGTCCTAAAACTTATTAACATTATTTGTAACTTGATAAACGAAAAATGCTAATAAGTTTTAGGATAATTACAAAAAATATTAACAAGTTTTAGAATTTATTGTACTTTTTAAAGATTTGTGATTCAATTGTACTTTTATGATAAATTTTATGACTTGATTGCATTTTATGAAAATTTTAGGACTCATTCCAAAAAAAAGAAAGCGTGAAACTCTCATACACTTGTGGAGGATTAGTGCACCAATCAATCCTCGTTTCAGCATTTTTCAATAGATGCTTTTACCCGAACAATGGA